CTGCTCGCTAGAAATGAAGCTGGCAGGGGGGAGAAACCGAATAATTCTCGTGTTTTACAGTGAAGAAAATGTGTGGAAACTCTGTGACTACATCAGGAGTCGGGATCAATACCCTCTAGAGGAATTCTATGCCGTTTTCATATCCAATGACAGGAGGATGGTGAGTCGATGAGATGCGATCTGAATGCAGCCGTGGAGGGATTCAGGCCTTCGACCGCAGCCCAGCAGCGATGGGACGTGGTCCTGGGCGCTGAGACCACAGCCCAGCGTGGGCCCTGGCGTTTTAACCACAGCCCAGGGTGGGTGAGACATGCTCCCAGGCCTTCAGACCTCAGCCCAACCCCTGAGATCTGGTCCCAACCCTCTTGTAACTCGCTTTGGTTCAGAGGAGTGCAAACCACACACCACGTGAGATCCTTCAGTTTTCTGATGCATTCAGGACCATGGGAAGAGGCACGATGCCACTGGGAGCTCCGGGGGCAATTCTCCCCTCTACTCTGTCAGTTTAGGAGAATGATTATGTAATGTGGTCCAGAATATTATCTCCCATCTTCGTGCCCCTGAGAGATAGAAACCAGTGAAAAAATCCTGACTACAGCACAGATGTAAAATGATGAAGTGGATAGGATAGCAAAGAGCTAACCAATTAACTCCAAATTAATCTAAAAGGTTTTATTCACTCGTAACTTTCAGATTCCACTCTGGAAGCAGAAATCAGGACGTGGAGATGAGCCTGTTGTCTGGGTAAGGTATTCTGTTCTCTCTCACAGTAATTCTGAGTGTGTGCTTCTGTGGTTGAGAGCTGCAGGATCAAGACATGGACAGTGTCAGCCACCTTCGCTGCAACAAACTGTTTTGTTTATGTTCCATCTGAACATAAAAACCCCACTTTTTTACTGGGAGGGTGATGGAGCACTGGATCGGTTGCCCAGAGAGGCTGTGGAGTCTCCATCCTCAGAGATACTAGAAAGCCATCTGGACATGGTCCCATTCAGCTGGATCTAGACATCTCTGCTTGGGCAAGGGCCTGCACCAGATGACCTCCAGAGGTCTCTTCCAACCTCAACCGTTCTATAGTTTTGTATTAATATTTACTGTTCTTTAGCAACAGATTTATAAAGAGCCTCAATCTGGTACTCCTTTTTATCATTCATGGTAAAGCAACAGCGAGGCAGTCGGTAAAATCTACAGGTCACAAATCTTAACATTGGCAAGAGTATGTAACAGATTTGTGAAAATTATCATCTGGATATTGTTGAGGCTACCAGCTTTGTGGGATGTTAAGGAGATGCCTGTACTTATAAGAAGTAGATGGATGAAAATATCCACGTAGGCATGACAGAGGATAGAAAAGCATAAGTCTTGTATGTATTCAGGTGTCAGTAATTAAACTGACCCATAAATGGTGACTTTGGATTGTCATTTGATCAAGGAATGTAATTCAGTAATTGTTCCTACAGAATTCCTTTCAAATATGTATAATTACAGAGTTCTTTCAGTTATCTGGTAGGGTATATTGAAATATTGCCATATTTCTTATGGCAATTTCAGTTTCAGAAATTCTGCATAATAATCTACAAACTTCTGAAGTTCTGTGATTTCTGAATCATTCAGAATCCCTCCCAGAATATTTGTGTATTTATCATACCGAAAAGGTTTTGTTTGTAAAGAGATCCAAGTGTTATGAAGATGATCTAAAAAGGAGTGGGAGAGTCAGGGAAGGCTACCACAGAATATGGATTTCCCATAAAAGTTTGTGGCTGGAAATGTGTTTTCCTTTTGATGTTTCAATGGATCACAGGATACATAAAGCTTGTAGCTATTTCTTCTTATACGTTGTAACAGATTTTTCTAAATATTGTTGCATACAGTTGTCTGTGTATATTGGTCTGTCGAAATAGGTGCCCAAGATCTTTTATCATTCCAATCCCTTTATTTAATATTCCAATCTCTTTCGTTTAATATTGTTAGTGTAGAAAGACGGTGCTTCAACTTTTCTTTTTTTGTGAGTGGATTTAATGTAAGCTTTACTAATCTGTTAACAGCTACCTTCAATTTAATTTTGGAAAGCAGCACTGTACATACCTGACACTTATGTAACTCCAATTTCTTCAAACCAGTTTCTCCACCATGCCTGTGCTTTACAAGTTAAGCAATAATGCTGCAACTCAGAACCCAAGTGCCAAGACAACATAGTTGCTGTGACAAAGTGAGATATAGTACCTGTGGGCATTTTTTCTCAGTTTCGAGAGCTACTGCAGAGATTCATCTGACTCTTACAGTCCTCTTGATCTGGGCTGTTTGCTGTATTTTCAGTTGCATGCTGTTTTTTCAGCTGTTTTGGGCAGCTAAACGCTGAGCACTCAAATTCACAGATGGTGAGCAGACACTGTAACAGGTACAACATCTCTCTAGTAGAAGAGATCACTAGATAATTTTTAATGCTAAGCTATGAGAATGGGTGTAGCTAGTAGGTCGAGAGAGGTCCTCCTGCCCCTCTACTCTGCCCTGGTGAGGCCACATCTGGAATATTGTGTCCAGTTCTGGGCCCCTCAGCTCAAGAGAGACAGGGAACTGCTGGAGAGAGTCCAGCGCAGAGCCACAGAGATGATGGAGTGAAACATCTCCCTCATGAGGAAAGGCTGAAGGAGCTGGGTCTCCTCATTTTGGAGAAGAGGAGACTGAGGGGTGACCTCATTAGTGTTTATAAATACGTCAAGGGGGAGTGTCAGGAGGACGGAGCCAGGCTCTTCTCAGCAGCGTCCAATGACAGGACAAGGGGCAACGGGTACAAGCTGGAACATAGGAGGTTCCACAAAAACATGGGAAAAAACTTTTTCCCTGTGAGGGTGACAGAGCCCTGACACAGGCTGCCCAGGGAGGTTGTGGAGTCTCCTTCTCTGGAGACATTCAAAACCCGCCTGGACACGTTCCTGTGTGACCTACTGTAGGTGATCCTGCTCTGGCAGCGGGGCTGGACTAGATGATCTTTTGAGGTCCCTTCCAACCCCTGACATTCTGTGATTCTGTGATCATCATGTATTGTTGTAAGCTTTTATTTAGTACTGAGTCTAAGCTGAAAGTGCTTACCCCACTCAACTTGTGTGGTTTGAGTGGGACATGAAATAAATTTGGGGGTTTTTTTTGGTCTTGGGAGTACGTTTTAGCTGTCCAGGCTTAAATCAGACGGGGCTGCAAAGGAATGTGAAAAATACTGAGATTTCTCAAAAGGTGCAGTAGGTGAGACAGGCATTAAGAAATTTCTCTCCTGGTGCCAGAAATGTTACAGGCTTAATACTTTAAGGACGGAAAGCAGGATGTAAAGTAAGAATCTCTACCTTTTGCTTTTAGGAAACTTTGGTTTTTTCTTTTGTTTTTTTTTTTTCTTTTTTTCCCTTATTCTTCCCTCCCTTTGCCAGTTTCTTGTTAACAGCTGTTTAACTAATGACGATTACCCGTCTTCCCAGGACTACCATGTTATTCTACTTCATGTTTCCAGTGGGGAGGAGAACTTCATTTATGATCTTGACACAGTGTTGCCATTTCCATGTCCTTTTGACCTGTACAGTGTGGAGGCCTTTAGGTTGGATGCCAGCCTTCGTCCAGAATTTCACAGGTAACGGTGTAAAAGATAAAGACCATGAATGTTATTTCATGAACTGAAAGTTGAAGTTCTCTTTGTGGATGCATAGTGACAGAAGGTTTTAGCTATGCTCCAGTGAAATAAACGCACTTTGTTGTTTTTCCAAAGCTCTTTAGTTTAGTCATAAAAATCCTTTTTCTTTCCTAGTGTAATTTCTTGTAAACTAGTTAACTGCTTGGCACAACATTGCTGATTTAATGCTCCTTGATGGGAGGAAAGGGCTCTTATTCTAAGTGACTAATGCAATACTGTACACACGCATCTTTTGATACAATTTTATGTTGCTGTTTAGGAAAATCAGAATGATTCGAGCAGATTTGTACTTGAAGACGTTTGCTTCAGACAGATCTCATATGAAAGATGCAAATGGGAAATGGCAGAAACCTCCTCCTTCATACCCTTGCATTGAAACTGCAGGTAAGCTGACAGTGCTCCTTTTTTCTGCTTGCAGCATTGAATGACATAGACAAAGATGAACACAAGAAGTAGATATGCTTCCATAACACATATCTGGAAGCATATCCAACTATCTTATTTCATATGGAAAAACAAATAAGGCTATGAAACATTTGACACTTCCTTTTCTGAACATGTAAAATCTAGCATTCCTTCTGGCATTTACCATTAGCAAACATTAATTACTGATCTTTGTGAACTGAGCAGAGAATGAGGGGTAAGTAGTACTATTCTCTTGTTACAGCAGGGAGCAACTGAAGCAAAGAGGCCAAATGACTTGCTTAAGGGTCACAAAGTGAATTTTTAACACACCCATTATCCCACGCTTCAGCTGGCAGGTCCCATACTGCCAGAGCAGGTTATTTTGACCAGGGGAAGTTTTCACCCTCTTCTCAGTGTACTGGGTTTGCCTGCATATGAGATGTTTGAGGTTTCTCTACCAAGTGAATGGACCTGAGGATGCTCTAAGGCAAACTGGCAAATCAGCAAAGATTCCCCCAAGCCTTAAACCTCTTTTAAGTGATAGTCTAGACAGTAGCTTCTGGGCAAGGCAGAGAGAGAAGTAAAGACTTGGCACCTCATCTGTAGAGCTGCTTAAACCATTCTTATCACATCACACTTCAGCTTATTCTAATCATGTGTTTGGCAAGCTGGACTAGCATTTACCATGTGTGTGTTTGTTCTTTCATTTTCTTTCCAGATGGTGAAAAGCATGGTGAAGTTCTGCTTTGAAAGAGTTTTCATGTTATTGCTCTGCATGTTTGGTTTTTCTCTTTTTAAAATAATACAGTTTATGTTAGAGAAGGCAGGGGCAAAGAAAGATGTTTTGTGTTTAGGTCCAAGTTTATTGTGGTTTTAGGTTGCTGGGAAGTTAATTCTTAATCATTGCTTTGGCTTCTAAAGAAGCTTAGTGTTTCCTCAGAACTACTTCATGTAGTCCTCACTGTGAAGCTTGAAGGTGTTTTCTTGGTGATCCAGGTTATGAAGCACCTTAAATTCTGTGTCTTGGTCCTTATCTCCATAAAGCTTTAAATGAAGGTAGTGTAGCCAGTGGCCCCTCAGCTCAAGAGAGACAGGGAACTGCTGGAGAGAGTCCAGTGCAGAGCCACAGAGATGATGAAGGGAGTGGAACATCTCCCTTATGAGGAAAGGCTGAAGGAGCTGGGTCTCTTTAGCTTGGAGAAGAGGAGGCTGAGGGGTGACCTCATTAATGTTTATAAATATGTCAAGGGGGAGTGTCAGGAGGACAGAGCCAGGCTCTTCTCAGTGATGTCCAGTGACAGGACAAGGGGCAATGGGTACAAGCTGGAACATAGGAGGTTCCACAAAAATATTAGGAAAAGCTTTTTCCCTGTGAGGGTGACAGAGCCCTGGCACAGGCTGCCCAGGGAGGGTGTGGAGTCTCCTTCTCTGGAGACATTCAAAACCCACCTGGACACGTTCCTGTGTGACCTACTGTAGGTGATCCTGCTCTGGCAGCGGGGCTGGACTAGATGATCTTTTGAGGTTCCTTCCAACCCCTGACATTCTGTGATTCTGTGAGAATGCCTGAACAGCAATTCCAGGTTCACTGTTAGTTGGAGCGTCCAAGGTGCCTGTTGAGTGCTTTTTGCCTGTGAAAACCTTGTTGTTGTGATAATGAAAGTGTGAGGAATGAAGGTCAGGCCAGGAAGATGAAAAAATTCTATTCAGAAGATTAGAAAACAGTTGCAGATATGTGCATGTACCTCCAGTTGCTGTGAATGGCTCTAGCTGCAAACCCTGTATCTCTCCCTTTCTCTGTCTTGCTTGGCTGAGCTTTTCCTCACTGATGAACAGCAGCCACGTGGTTTCAGCCAACCTCTGGATTGTCTCTGTGAGGCTGGTAGATAGGAAAGATACATAAGATCTTCGTTCCTCTCACGCTTTATTTCTTTCCTCTGTACCTTGCTGTGCTGAAAGAAATGTCCATAGGGCATCCAGTCTAACACCTGCTCAAAGCAGGGATGCCTTAGGGCTCTGTCCAGTCGACTGTTGAACACATCCAGGGATGGAGATTCTACCACCTTTCTGGGCAGTCTCTTCCATTATTTGACTACTGTCATAGTTAAAAAAAAAAATAAATAAAAAAATCATAAAATGGTTGGAGATGAGTCGACTGTTGAACACATCCAGGGATGGAGATTCTACCACCTTTCTGGGCAGTCTCTTCCATTATTTGACTACTGTCATAGTTAAAAAAAAATAAATAAAAAAATCATAAAATGTTTGGAGTTGAAAGGAATCTCTAGAGATCATCTAGTCCAACCCCCCTGCCAGAGCAGGACCCCTAGGGCAGCCACACAGGAACGCATCCAGATGGGTTTTGAAAGTCTCCAGAGAAGAGAGCTTGAAATACTAGTATGCAGTTAGAATTGCCTGTATTTGAACTTGCTTTTTGAATAAATGCTTCTTGTCCTGTCGAGAGGCTCTTGCAGGAAGGCTCTGGCTCCATCTTCTTTGTGTCCTCTGATCAGGAAATGAACACAGGAGTAAAGGTCTCTCCAGCTTATCTGTTTAAGACTGAACAGGCTCGATTCTTTAAGCTTATTCTTGAATGTTGTGTTCTCCTGCCCCAAACAATTTGATGTTCCTCTTCTGGACTCACTCCAGTATGTCAGTGTTTTCAGTTGGTTTGGTTTTGTGGATTTTATTTTTTTTGTTTGGTGTTTTTTGGTTTTTTTTTGCACTGAGAGGCTCCAGACTGGACACAGTATTCCAATTCAGTGCTGATGTGCTCTAGTCTCTTGGTCAATTGGTTGAATGTTGCAGGTGAAAGAAACTGGAAGGTCATTTTGCTGGGAAGCTTCAGGATCTGCGTCAAAATGGGAAGAGCTTGTATCAGATCGAGGATGTCTAGTTTCAGGTTTCTCATTTGGTACCAGTTTCTCCAGCTTTTATTTTTTGTCTTCCCTGTATTCACTTGAGATGTCTTACAGTAACGTGTGCCTCGTTGTGCACAGCGCCGTCAGACAGTGAGGGGTCTGGGTTTAACTGTCGTGGAACAAGCGTGTTCTTTAACTTTGGGCTGAATTGAAGTCCTGCACTTCAGTTATGTGGTTCCGCAGATGAGTGGGTGTCCTGCAGACGGGTGTAGAAGTTTAGAAAATGTTGCTGTAAACAAGTAGAACTCGTAATTCTCTGCCATTAGAGACTGATAAAGTAATGTCTCAGTGCAATTTTATCAAGCATAAAAGTGCCTTATTTTAGACTTGGTGGAAAACTGGGTGGCAGACCTTTTGTTATCGTAAAAGAGCCTGGGGTATTAATGTTCACATCCATGCCAAATTCCATCGCAGATAACTTTTTTTTCTCCCTGCCGTTTCACTTAGATAGAGTGCCCTACTTTCTGTGTTAATTTGTGTTTGTGTAAGATTAAGTTGCTTACATATTTCATGTTAGAGGTGACTGCAATTTAAAGGCTGACCACATTGTTTTAGTGTCAATTTATTTATGAGGCACCTTTAGATCAGAGCATTATTTTATTATTATGCTGTCGTTTAGAGTAGCCAAATTCTTGAGCTCTTGAGAAGATGATTACAAAAGCATTCAAAGTTTTTATTACTTCTCTTTGCTCTGTCTCTTCTTTGATGTTAGAAATGTTTGAAGACTGAAAAAATACAATAAAAATCACAGAATCACAGAATTTTAGGGGTTGGAAGGGACCTCTAGAGATCATCTAGTCCAACCCCCCTGTCAGAGCAGGATCCCCTAGGGCAGCCACACAGGAACCAGGCGTTGCTTTTTTTTTTTTTAATTGTATGAGCATTGTACTGTTAAAAATGTGCCCTTGAACTCTTGGTATTTAAAGATAATCGCCACTCTGGTATTACTGTGTCCCTTCTCTCATGTAACAAGAGACAGGACAGGAGGAAATAGCCTCAAGTTATACCAGGGGAGGTTTGGATTAGATATTAGGAAAATCTTCTTCAGCAAAAAGGTTGCTCAGCATTGGAAGAGGCTTCCCAGGGAAGGGATTGAGTCACCATCCCTGGAGGAACTTAAAAGACATGTAGATGTGGTGCTTAGGGACATAGTTTAGTGGTGGACCTGGCAGTGCGGGGTTAATAGTTGGACTCAAAGGTCTTCTCCAAGGCAAAACAATTCTGTGATTCAATTAAAGCACATTAGTTACATTTATATTAACCACTTCTCTATTCTCACTTGGTTCTAAAGATTTTAGTAAGCTTAAAAAGACAAGAATGTTTGCTTTCGGCACTAAAATATTGCCTCTTCCAGAGCAGAGCAGATGTTAAGCCTGCATATAGCATTTTAGAAAAGGAAATTCTGTATAATCTTAAGTCAGATGAGTTGAGGAATCTCTATCAATAACCAATTAAGCAATTTTTTCCTACTACAAACTCAAAAGGAATAATTCTTAAACTGTATTTGTGCTGCTCATGGGGTTGCAAAATAAACCTTCTAAAATAAGCTTATCCTGAGTCGTTGTTGTGGTTTAACCCCAGCTAGCAATTGAGAACCGCACAGCCGCTCGCTCACTTCTCGCCTCCCCAGTGGGATGGGGGAAAAAATTGGAAAAACAAAAAAAAATAAATAAAACCTCACAAGTTGAGGTAAAGACAATTTAATAGGGCAGAAAAGGAAGGGAAAACAATAATTATAATAATAAACAATACACAAAACAAGTGATGCACTATACAATTGCTCACCAGCCGCTGACCCATGCCCAGCTAATCCCCGAGCTGCAGTATCCCCCAGCCAACTCACCCCAGTTTACATACTGGGCACGAGATATCCCCTTGGCCAGTTAGTGTCAGCTGTCCTGGCTGTGTGCCCTCCCAGCTTCTTGTGCAGCCTCAGCCTCCTCACTGGCAGGGCAGCAGGAGAAACTGAAAAGTCTTTGACTTAGTATAAATACTGCTTAGCAATAATTAAAACATCAGTGTTGTCAACATTATTCTCACCCTAAATCCAAGCCTCGGCACTGAAGCAGCTACTAGGAAGAAAATTAACTTTATTCCAGCTGAAACCACAACAGTCACAAATTCCAGTCCGTGCTTACAAAATCTGAAGCCGGAGCTAGGTGATTTTTTTGTAAACTTGAACCTTAGCATTATTTTTCTAAAAAGCAAAGAATCCCATGATAACCAACTAAACAAAAAAAAAACCCTCAAACCCCACAATATCTCATCAGAACTCACATGCTAAGCATCAGCCTGTTGCAACTGGCTCTGCTCTAGCTGTTTGCCAGAGCTTGGCCTCTGTGTTTCTTGTAGGCATCACCCTGGCCTCTGCTCTGCTCTGCTCCGCCGCTGTGCGTGCCAGGCTGACCTATCTGGCTGCACGGTGCTTTCTCACCCAGCCCTGTCCTCAAAAAAGCTTCACTGGACTGAGCGTGCCCTGAGCTGCAGCAGATTCCCCTGGTCCCACCTGGCTG